AAAAAGTTGAAGATTAAAATTGTCTGAATTATATTTACATGCATGGTTTACTAGAGACATCCAGACCGAAACCGATATTGAAGAAGTCATTTGTATCAGAGAGAAACCTGTACATTTATGTGAGATGTATAAGATGTAAGCGTCCTCAGCGTTTCGTGATTTAAATGGGTTTCGGAGTAAAAAGACTCCAAAGAAAGAACAAATGGAAATGAAACATTTTTCGTTCGATAGTCGGTTTTATTCACTTGTTCAGTTGCACTCCGTTTATACTGGATCGGTATTTATAGAGTTGCAACCGAAATGCATCCTTCTTAGTCACATTTTGATTGTGTTTCGGTAACGTACTTACCAATTTTTCAATCATTTTTTTTTATTTATTCATGTAATTTCTTAAAACTGTGCATTTAAATTTTTGATGTAATTGATCATTCCAATCAAACTTGGCCAGCGGAAGAAGCTTGGCAGTTCCCGATTCGAGAAAAAGTAAAAATCCTTCAGCTTTGAACAAATGTAGTAAAACTAAATCAACAACAATAAGAATTATCTGAATTAAGAAAATCTCTTTGGAATTCGATGTTTATAATAGTTGAGTAAACGTAAACACTTCAGTTTTTGTATTCGCAACGCGTGGTATCACATTTTTCAAATTCCAGCTAAACTCATCACTATTGCATTCCAAGTATTATTCTTCCTTATCTGATTTAGGTACTCAAAATGCGGGTATAAATATTGCCACCCTGCATCATATGTTCATTCACATTTTTTCTCTAAGCTTCTGAACCATCGAATTAAAACTACACAAAAATGTTCAAATTTGTCGTGTTGCTTTCAGCTGCTCTTGCCTTTGCTGCTTCTGCCGTAAGTACTAGATTTTATCAATTGGTGCGGGTGAACAGTGGTTGATATCGGGAGTTTTGTTTTTAGAGCCTTAGGGTAAACCCTGATGAACTCCACGTCATCTGGGACACCATCGAGAAGGACATCCGAGTGCGTCAACAAGAAGCCGAGTTGGAAATCCGCAACCTTTTGGAGCCTCTTCGTATCTTGGTTGATGATGCCAGGGAAAAA